CAAACTGGTGCAGTCGCTCTGGAAAACAGTTTGGAGGTTCCTCAAAAAATTAAAAATAGACCTACCCTATGACCCAGCAATAGCACTGCTAGGAATTTACCCAGGGGATACAGGAGTGCTGATGCATAGGGGCACTTGTACCCCAATGTTTACAGCAGCACTTTCAACAATAGCCAAATTATGGAAAGAGCCCAACTGATGAATGGATAAAGAAGGTGTGGTTTATATAAACAATGGAATACTACTTGGCAATGAGAAAGACTGAAATATGGCCTTTTGTAGCAATGTGGATGGAACTGGAGAGTGTTATGCTAAGTGAAATAAGTCATACAGAGACAGACAGATACCATTATGTTTTCACTCTTATGTGGATCCTGAGAAACTTAACAGAAGACCATGGGGAGGGGAAGGGGGGAAAAAAGTCAGAGAGGGAGGGACGCAAACCATAAGAGACCCTTAAAAACTGAGAATAAACTGAGGGTTGATGGGAGGTGGGAGGGAGGGGAAAGTGGGTGATGGACATCAAGGAGGGCACCTGTCAGAATGAGAACTGGGTGTTGTATGGAAACCAATTTGACAATAAATTTCATTAAAAAAAAAGATTACTTAAGTAAATTAAAAAAAAAAAAACCTAAAGAAAAAAAGACTGAAAATCAACAATCTAAATGTGCAACTCAAAAATTAGAGGAACAACAAGTAGAACAATGAAACTAAAAGCAATAAAAAGAAGTAATAATCCGTTAGTATAAAAAAACCAAAAAAACCCAGTATGGTATTGTATAAAAACACAGATCAAATAGAGCAGAACAGAAAGCCCAGAAATAAATCCATGCATATATAATCAACTTATTTTTGACAAAGGAGCACAGAATACACAATGGAGAAGGTACAGTCTCTTCAATAAATGGTGTTGGGAAAACTTGATATTCACATGCAAAAAATGAAACAGGACCCCCTATCTTACACCACACACAAATTCAAGTCAAAATGTACTGACGATTTGAACATAAAACCTGAAACTCCTGGAAGAAAACACAGGAGAGAAGCTCCTGGATACCGGTCTTTGCAAATATTTTCTGGATTAGACTAACCTTAAGCAAGGCAACAAAAACAAAAATAAACAAGTGGGACTACCTCAAAGTAAAAAGCTTCTGTACGGCAAAGGGAAACCATCAACAAAATGCAAAGGCAACCTAAGGAATGGCAAAAAATATTTGCAAACCACATATCTGATAAGGGGCAGTATCCAAAATATATAAGGAACGCACACAATTATTATCAAAAATCCAAGTAACCCAGGTAAAACTTGGGCAAAGGACCTGAACAGACATTTTCGCAGAGAAGACATACAAATGGCCAACAGGTACAAGAAAGTGCTCAACATCACTCATCATCAGGGAAATGCAAATCAAAACCATAATGAGATATCACCTTACATGTTGGGATGGCTATTATCAAAAAGACAGACAACAAATGCTGGTGAAGATGTGGAGAAAAGGGAACCCTTGTGCACTGTTGGTGGAAATGTAAACTGGTGCGTATAGCTACTATGGAAAATAGCAAGGAGATTCCTCAAGAAATTTAAAATAGCATTACAATATGATTCATCAATACTACTTCTGGGTATATATCCAAAGGAAATGAAATCACTACCCTGAAGAGGTATTTGTACTTTCATATTCAATGCAGCATTATTCACAATAGCCAAGGTAGGAAAGCAACCGAGGTGTGAAAGAATGGATAAAAAAAATGTGGTATTTACATATATAATGGAGTATTATTCAGCCTTTAAAAAGGGGAACGATGCCATTTGCAACAACATGGATGAACCTGGACAGCATTACGTTAAGTGAAATAGGCCAGACAAAGACAAATACTACATATTATCATTTATATGTGTAATCTTAAAAAAGAAAAAAAAAAAGAAACAAGAGTCAAACCCTTACAGAAATCGAGTAGATCGGTGGCTGCCAGATGGTTGGATCAGGATAGGGAACTACATGAGGCTGGTAAAAGGGTACAGACTTTTAGTTGTAAGATGAACAGGGTCTGAAGATCTAATGTAGAACATGGTGATTATAGTTATTGTATTGTATAATTGAAATTTGTTAAGAGAGTAGATAGAACCTAAGTGTTCTTACCAAACAAAAAAGGTAAATATTAAAATACTGTAAAGTGGTAGATGGGCTAACTTGGTAGGAATCCTTTCACAAGGTGCACATATATCAAATCGTTATGTTATAAACTTTAAATATATTACAATTTTATTTGTCAATTCTATCTTAATAGAACTGGAAAAAAAAACCCTTAAGCTTTGGAATAAGTTTAATACAGGTTTGAATTCTGGCCTTTCATGTGTCATGGAACCTGGGGTAAATTACTTAACCTATACTAGTTTCCTCATCTATAAAAACAGGGATAGCAAATATATCTATTCCAGAAAACTACTTTGCACATGAAATGAAAGAGCTCACACAAAATGCTTGGGATGCTTGGCACACAGAAAGGGCTCAATAGATGCAGCGTCATTAATCACTATGACAGTAACGACTCCCTTAGACACTCAGTGCATACGGCATGCCAGGCACTGTGCTGGCACTGGGGACACACCGTGAGCACGGCTGACACAGGTCTCTCTCGGTCGGGAACTTGTCAGGGAAGAGGAACAAATACGCAAGCACTGAAAAGCGGCGGGAAGCAAAGCATTATGTGGGGTCACAGATGGGAGGCACTTATCCTCGTGTGAGGATTGTGAGGAAGGCTCCACTAAGCAAATGGGGATTAAACTGAAGTAAGTCTAAGGATGTCATCATTTATAATGAAACAGTAGTAGGACTCTTAGGAGCATTTCTTCAGCTCTGAGAAGGGAAAACAAGAAACATGCTGAGCTCACCCCTTAATGTAATCAAAATATGTGCTGACCAATGCTGTCATTTAGAAAACACACACAAGTGTTCTTAGAGCCCTGTAACTGGTGCATCATTTAAATATTTACCCATTTCTTTTATACCATCCACGTTTTAAAACAAAGCTGAAATACTATCTGAAGATAGAAACATCTGAAAGTTTAAGTATAATCGAACTGTCAGATTCTGTGCATGTAACATCACTTCCACAGAAAGATCTTAGTTATAAGAGGGTCTCAAAGCATGTACTTTAAGGATGACATAAAAACTATACATAAAGTATAAAGTCAGCTCCCCATGAAATGGGGGTGATTTGAAGGGGTGTACTGGTGGTGAGTGTGGGAGAAATTGCAGTTAAATTACATGAAACCTTCAATTACTCAAATTTCCCTGACAGTGGCTAGGGACCTGCTCAGCTCCCCAAAGGGACTCCGTTTTCAGTTTCAGGAGGAAACTACTGGCTGTAGTTCAGGGCTTCCCACTTCTTAAAGCAGAACAACTTCTGTGGTGAGAAGTCACATTTTCTAGTCCCTGTAAGGCCATAACCACGGTTAAGCTGTGCTTCCTAACTGACTATAAAAACAACCTGGGCTCCATCCAAACATTCATTTTAACAAAAAGATTATTATGCATTTCTTTGTAAGGAAATTATAAAACATGACCTATGATACTGAGTGAAACTAGCGTTAGTATTTCTTGACTTTAGAAAAGTGTTTTGGTTTTTTGTTTTTTTTTTTTCCCCTTCTCTGGGAAAGCAAAATTAACCAATATATTCTCCAAATAAAACATCTGTTTTCTCCCAGTATGGGCTATGAATAGCAGGACACGATGGGTGATGACATGGGGCAATTTTCAGTACCGAATAATCATAATACAGACATTTTAAAAATCAAGATGTTTTAAAATATTTTCTTTGGGTTGGCTCTGAGGCCAGGATCTAATGCTCAATCCCAGCCGTGAACAATACAGTCTATACATTTGTGGGCCCTATGTGTCATCGGTCATTTTGCAAAGCACCTAACGAATCTAAGTCAAAACAATATAAACTTGTCGGCAATACAAGAAAAATGACTCCAAACATATAGCCTTTGGTTAGACTGTCCCAAGACTATCAAAGGTAGCAAGTTTAAATTTTTATTTCCATATTCTGGATACTTAAATATTTACAACAGTTTGGTTGGCAAGCCAGAGATCACAGTTGTGAAAATCTTCAAATGGTTGCATAGTATGTACGAAGGCTGGTCTTTCTTTGGCTACAGATTTTTAAACTGCTTGCTATTTATATATGAATCAGATTTTCTACCAACAGAAACTCACCATTCCCAAACTCGGAGGCTCTTATCGTCAGATGTGCTCACAAATCTCCTGTTCTCATCAACAAAAACAATGGTGTTGACGGCTCCCAAATGCCGGTCATACTCCTGAACAATTTCTCCACTTCGAATGTCCCACTGTACATCAAGACAAGAGGTAAACACAGAAGTGGAGCAGATTTATGAAAATAAAGAGATATCAGACCCATGGAAAGTGAAGAAGAAAAAAATCTCTAACATAATGTTTTTTTACGACCGACTGTTTTCTACTAAAAATAGCCCATTAGCAGTCCCTAAGAGCAGCAAGCGTTAAACAAGTTAATATTCTTTATTCCATCCCCTAATACAACATAAGCTGTAGAAATCTTACTAAAATACTGTGAAAAGACTTACCTGCACAATCTTCTTATCAGACATGCCAGCTACAAAGAGATTTTGCTTATCTTCATCAGGATTAAATTTGACACAATAGGGCACTTTTCGGTTTGTAAACCTTGATATACACTGTCCTAAAACCAAAGACTCAAGTTAAGGTAGGTAAAATAAACCCTGGGATGAAAATCTAGAGATCATCTGCTTAATAAATTTTGGGGAAGGGCAGCCTGCTTGTTCTTTACTATAAACTACATTGTTCCTTTTCACAGATTCTTAATGATTAAAAATAAATTTTTCAAAAGTGAATCATCAATTGCAGAATAGATAAAATGATTATGATGTGTAGCCAGAGTTGAGAGCCACCATGGGTTAAGAGTATGGGCTTTGGCATTACACCTTGGCTGAAACCAGTTCGGCCATTTACTAGCTGTGTGACTCTGGAAAAGTTACCTCTTTAAGCTTCAGTTTCTTCGTCTATAGGAATGATAAGAATAATTATAGGGATATTTTAAGAATTGAATGCAATACTGGGCGTAAGTGCACAGCACAATGCCTGGTAAACAGTGTTCAATAAATATGAGCTATTACCTTTCCCCTTAAAACTCAGTAAGACAAAAGATGGTTATACAAAACCATACTGGCCACAACGTACTGATGCAATTAATGTTTGTGAATATATAAAACCAACTCGCCTATGGGCCTGTAAACTGACTTATTTTAATCAATGTGGGCAATTAAATTTAATGTTGTTCATCAGACATTTATTGTGCTTCCATTATGTGCAATGCTGTGTGCTACGTGATGGAAGAGAACAAAAATCAATTAAATAGTCTATGGAAGATTTCAGATTTGCTTGTCTATCAGCACGTTTGCTTTATAAATTGTATTTGATGGAAACAAAGTTTCATAGTAAAAAAGCTACTTACGTAGCTGAGTTTCAACTCTACATTTTATGATATTAGCTGATGGTGGTATGAGAATCAGCAGTTACAGATGGCATCATCTGCCACAGAAGACCACTCACACTATTTCATTTATCAATGCTAATTTCTAAGATAAATATGGATTAGTATCAGTGAGCTCTTACCTGTCTCAGTGTCCCAGAGCTTAAGATACCTGTCATAAGCTGCACTGAGGAACTGTGTTCCTGCAGTATTAAAGCAGATGTCCCTAACAGCTTTACTGTGACCTAAAGGTGGAGACAATAAAAATGGACGTGAGGTGAAATATCTCTTAAAACACAAGCACTGTAAGAGAAATAGCATTTTCAAGCCACACTGTGAGTCAAAATCTCTGGAATCCTATTCCCTGACTTACTGACTCAGAGTTCAGTTAGGTGTGGGCTTGGGAACGTAGGAGGTTTTTTTTTATTTCCCCTTCAAAAAGCTCCCTAGGTGTTTCTGAGGCATAACATTTAGGTAAGAACCAAGAGACAAGGGGAAACTTTTTTTTTTTTTGAAGTTGGTCATAGCAATCTTTTAATATGTAATACACATAACTGATGACTAAGCAGTCAAGAATTTAAGGAAACATAACAGGCCAATTATTGCCAACGAAAAAGAAGGGACTAGTGACATGTCGGAGGTTCGCTCTCCAGATTACTAAGTGAAACAAAGTGACCTAACCCTCAAGTTCATGGAATCACAGCCCTTCTTCAGTAGCTGTGGATTTCTGTGATCACATTACCAAGTTTCACAGAAGTGAATTCAGAGTCTCCGAGACTAATAAACCTTTTTGAAACAAATATCAATTTCTATTTTAAGATAGCATTTTGACAATATATTAATTTTAAAGTGCTTTGCTTGGAAATCAATCCTGCCAGGCCAGTCAACTCTTCTGAAAGTTACAGAGACAAATAAAATGTAGCTAAATGAAAGCAGAAACTTTCCTATTCTTTACCACCCCATCATGACCAAGACTGACAAGTACAATTGTGCAAAATGTGCACTGCACAAATTGTCAACCACACACAGCAGCCCTGAACCAGCACCACCAGTGAACTAGTCAGGCAATGTGCTACAGTAATTAGGCATTCTTTTCTACAGCAAGAGTCCCATCTTCCGAAAGCAGGTAATTTTCAGTTTTCCACTGAAAAACTGCCAGGGAGCGGTGGGGAGACAGATGGGGAGCAAATCCACTAAATGTACAGGAGGCATTTTGTTCCCGCATACGCTGCTGAGAGCCTTCCCACAAGTCCTCCTATAGGCACCTTGGGCAGTATTTATTTGTGGGGTGAGGCCCTAAAATCATAACAAAGCCTGCAGAACGGACTCCCACTTGAATCTAAAAACAGAGCCACTACGATTTACACAAATAATGTCTCGATGATGTACAGTTAAATCTGGAAACATAACCAGCCTTCATATGAAATCTGCCCAAGACTGTAAACTATTCTCTGCCAGAAAGGTTTGCCACGAAGCTGTTTGCTTTTTGGCCTTGTTTTCTCCTTCAAGGAGTTCACTCAATCTTATCCTTTTGTATGCTGTAGCTGTCAATTCCTAACTTCTCTTCAAAGCTCAACATCTGGCTATCTAATTGCTTACTGGAAATTTTCATCTCCATATCCCAAAGGCAGCTCAAACTTAACAAGTGATACCTCATCATCCTTTTCTGTTCCCTCTCTTGGCGAATGGCACCACCATTCACCCAGCCAGCTGGGAGTCACCCTAGATTCCTGATGCACTCTTATCACTTACATCCGCTAAGTCCTGCTGCTTTTTAACTCTTGATTGTTTTTCCTCTCTATGCGCCGCTTTAGTCCAGACTCTTAGCATTTCTAATCTAGACCAATGAAAAAACCCTGTAATTCATTTCCCTGCCAGCGGGCCTGCCCCACCAAAACATCTTCCATACGGTCACTGTGATCTCTATAAACTTCTAATCTAATTAAGCTAATTTCCTGCAAAAGCCGTTTAATGGATGGCTTTCCAAGGTCCTCTGGATAGATTCTACACTCCTTATTTTTTTTAATTTTTAAAAAATTTAGTTTATTTATTTTTGAGAGACAGAGAGAGCGAGAGAGAGAGAGCACGAGAGTGTGAGTGTGGGCGTACATGTGGGGGAGGGGCAGAAAGAGAGAGGGAGACACAGAATCCAAAACAGGCTCCAGGCTCTGAGCTGTCAGCACAGAGCCCAATGCGGGGCTCGAACTCACAAATCGTGAGATCATGACCTGAGCCGAAGTCGGACACTTAACTGAGCCACCCAGGCACCCCAATTCTGCACTCCCTACTAAGGGCATGTAAGGTCCTCCATGCCTTACCTCTTGTTATACTGCTTTCTCTGCTTGTCATCTCTCACCATATCCCATACCCTGGCAATTCTGAAATATACCTGGCTGCCCCAAAGCAGCATGCTTTCTCAAACCACTTTTGCTTTTCTTCTCAGTTCCCTTTTTTGTCTATTTGGGAGGACTTAGTCCCTCTTCAAGACTCAGCTCAAGTTTTTGAAGACTTTCCTTCATTATTGGTACAATGAAATTACTGTCAATGATGTTATCTTAGTTTAAAAAAGTCTTTCCAAACAGGGGCTCCTGGGTGTCTCAGTCGGTTAAGCGTCCGACTTTGGCTCAGGTCATGATCTTGTGGTTCCTGGGTTCAAGCCCCGTGTCGGGCTCTGTGCTGACAGCCTGGATCCTGGAGCCTGCTTCAGATTCTGTGTCTCCTGTCTCCCTCTCTCTCTGCCCCTCCCCTACTCATGCTGTCTCTCTCTCTCTCTCTCTTAAAAATAAATAAACATTAAAAAAAAAAAAGTCTTTCCAAACAGATTTATAGCCAGAGATAAAAGAAGTATTACCAATAAATGTTCGTAGACAGCGCCTGTCTCCATAAACCTCCCATAGCTGGGGGAAAAAAACACAGAGAAATTAAATTTAATAGAAGACTTGGGTAAAATGACAAGTTTCAATCAGTAACAACAGTCGTATGCTGGCTATGTGTGTGCATATATGTGTGTACAGGGGATTTAACCAAAGGCATTATATTTAAGGGAACATGTTGCTTAGAGCTGTTAGTCTATGTTGCAACATTTGAACCATACACACACACACACACACACACACACACACACACACACACATAAATTTGAAATCTGACACTGAAAGATACACCAAAATATCAAGAGAACATAGATGGAGCTAATAAAAGTGACTTTCATTTCTTGTTCTTTTCTGTATTTGATATATTTTCTATGATGAAAACTTTTATGTAATAGTATAAGCTACTTCTGGAAGAATTAAATACTATTAAAAACTGCCATGTTTATAACATTTTGGTCCTTACCAAATGTATTTCATTTTTTGGGAACTTACTGAAGTCACAAAATATTATAGAAGCTATATGAAAATGATGATCTACACTATAATAGGCTAATAATTCTCATCACATCTAAAGTGAATTAATACAATAGCTTCAAAACTACCTTTATTCTTGCCTACCTCAAATCAAACCGTTGGTAATGTTACTAGTGTTCTAAAACAGCACTTCCTGGCCACCCAGTGCCAACAGCATAAAGTCTCAGTTCCTGCAGCATACCAGGCAAAGGACTTCCAGGACCTACCTGGTCCTTGGCCTATGACTGTTGCCACTCTGTATCTCTCAGATTCGAGACTCCAGAAACCACAAACTTACAGTGTTCAGCACACGCCATGCCTATGCATCCTATTCACTCTTTTTGGACCTGCTTCACTCCCTACACTCCCCCCCACCCCGCCATCCCCTTTACTTAGTTACCCTCCTACTGAAGTGTGCTTCCTCTTTGAAAACAGAGCACCTTATGCCAGGTTCTATAAGCATCATTTACATCATAAAGAAATGATCACCCTAAGGTCAGGGAGAGGGTCTTTTTTAAACTTTTTTTTTTTAATTTTTTTTAACGTTTATTTATTTTTGAGACAGAGAGAGACAGAGCATGAACAGGGGAGGGGCAGAGAGAGAGGGAGACACAGAATCTGAAACAGGCTCCAGGCTCTGAGCTGTCAGCACAGAGCCCGACGCGGGGCTCGAACTCACGGACCGAACTCACGGACTGTGAGATCATGACCTGAGCCGAAGTCAGACGCTTAACCGACCAAGCCACCCAGGCGCCCCATGGAGAGGGTCTTAATATATTTTTAGTCTTGGCCTGTTGACATATTAGGTACCTAAAAAATGCTTAGGAAATGAAGTAAATTGAACTCTATGTTTTTTCAATTGGTCAGAAAGACCTTAATCTTAATATAGTTTGTATGAAGTGAAAGTTAAAGGAAACAAGGTTTTTCTACTCCAAACTGTTAGCCTGTCATTTTAAGCTACTGAGTACAGACAATTGCCTAAATGACTGCCCTCATCAAAAAAAGCTTCCTTCACATATCATTGAGTTGTTTACACAGAGTACAATTTTGATGATTCAACTTTCTAAGCCTCAAGAGTACTAGAAGGCTGATATGTCTTGACCATCATAATAATGCAGACACAGAAGACACAAAAAAGAGCACTATTCTTTCAGACTTTAGTTTTAAAAAGGCTTCTCCCATGTTCAAGTTGATATGCTCTGGCAACTGAGCTTTTTCCCCACATACTCTATAGCGGAAACTTAACCTTAAAGTGGAGCTTCCCAAGACTGTACAACCTGAGAGAAGAGGCTGGGAGCAGTTCTGCTACTTGGTGTCTACTTGCATTTATAAGAAAAAGGATGAATTATGTTACCTACTTTTTGAGATGGGATTTCTATCATGTGTCCTCTCTACCCCATAAGGTTCTGAGGAACAAATGAACTCATATTTGTTACGTATCCAAAGCCTCTATAAAAATACGTTATTAGTGATTAAATATTTATATATCTAAAGCCAAAGTGATTGATTACATCCTAATCAGTTATCTAAGCTTACAAATGAGCCTAGACAGTTGGACCACAGAGCCATATTTGAATCAACATGTTTGGAAGCAATTCATAAATGGCTGCATTCACGGGGCCTAAGAGAAAATAATTAGCCTCTAGTTGCCTAACAAACCCAAATTTATTTATAATTAACCAAATAGACTTAACCAAAGCACTAGCATTGCAGCACTCCTACTCTGTTACTGAAAACTCACCTTAATTTTACAGTCCATGGAACAAGACAGCAATAAATGGCCAGAGAGAGGAAACAATCTGACAGCACTGACGCCCTATAAAAAGGTATTACAGTTATCAATCAGAAGGAGTCTAATGTCCGCTAAAGTGAAACAAGGAAAGTATGATATATTTTTAAGCAACCTAATTTACTGTTTTTCTTAATTCCAAAAATCATGCCCCAGAATAACCTTTGTTAGTAGTCCAAGAGCAGCCCTTATTGACACTAAGTTTTTGAAGATTTGTTTTTTGACCTTTAATACTGACTTGCTCACCCCAGGGAATTCTTAGTCAATCAAGTTGCTAATGCTCTCTCTCCTCTTCCTGCTTTTATTCAGTTCCTTCGCTCTTTGCTAGGAGCTGGAAAATTATCAGTTGGAATAGTGCAGATGACAAAGAATATCAACATCAAAAGTTTCAAGTATCTTGTCTCTGCATCAGTTTAAATATTACCATGGTTTATAAACCAGAAACCATCTAATCTTCTCTTAAGCATGATAATCCCAAGAGCTAAGGCAACATTACTGAGGTCTTAGTGCCACTACCAACCCATTATTCACTGCTGTGGTTCCAGAAAAAAGCAGATTGGGCAGGAATATGTGGGGAAAGGCTTGGGTTACCCCTAAGGGGATAGGACACCAATTATGAATGTGATGTCATGGCCAATCCATATGACCACTTTGCTTACCTTCGTATGTCCAGACCACACATGAATTTGTTTCTTGGGAAGGTAACACTTCTCAGGTGGCACAGTGGACCGCAGATTAACACCAACATCCTGAGGTATGTGAAGATAGGATCTGCCTTGGTAGTCATACATTTCTTTAACTGAAATAAGAAAACAAAGGAAAGCAGTGAACAAATATAAGCTACAGTCATAAAATCTATATCCTTAAATGATAACTTTTTTTTTAAATTTTTTTTTAATGTTTTTTTATTTATTTTTGAGACAGAGAGAGACAGAGCATGAGCAGGGGAGGGGCAGAGAGAGAGGGAGACACAGAATCGGAAGCAGGCTCCAGGCTCTGAGCTGTCAGCACAGAGCCCAACGTGGGGCTCGAACTCACAGACTGTGAGATCGTGACCTGAACTGAGGTCGGACGCCCAGCCGACTGAGCCACCCAGGCGCCCCTGGTAACATTTTATTCATAGGGATATTGTTCCCTATTAAGGTTTAGGTACTAACATTCTGATGAAGTTAAGACCAAGAGTCAGCTAAAATTTAGTTCTTGAAGTCACTGCTATTGTTTACAATTAGAGGTAATACTTTGGAATTTCTAAATACCCAGAGACTCTCAGACCTTTAAATAAGATCTATACTTTTACTTAGTTACACATTTTAATGATATAAAAAAGACTTCACTGCAGCATAATTACAGCGAGGGAAGAAAAGATAATACTTGAGCCTTGTGAGTCACTGGCAAAGACTCAGAAGCAAACCAGGATAAAAAAAGAAGTTAAAAATATCAACTACCCTTTTTCCCTGTTTTCCTCTTTTATGCCCTTCCAGGTTCCTATTCCATTCTCTTCTCCACTTTCAACATAAAGTTTACAGTGAAGTCACTGGTGGCACTTAAATGGCATAGTATATATAAAACATTTAGCGGCATGCCTGGCACAGAATAGTCCTCAATAGATGTGGGCTGTTACATTTATTATGGCTGCAAGCATCACAGTACTCAACAGACTCCTTGGAGAGAAAACTCCAGAAAACTGGAGTTTGAGAAATCGAATATGGCCTCATCAAACCTAAATATTTGATATGTGATCAATATTAGAATAACCAATACATCAGTACTAAATTATTCCTTACAGTTGGCTAATCACTACATAATTTTCCAAAGGTAACTAATTATTAATGAACCAGGTACATTTGAGAATACTTATAATTCATTTTGGACTATATTTCCTGATGTAAAGGAAACAGGCATTTCCTTCCACATATCAAAATTAGTATAAGAATTTTAATCTCTAGTCTATTCACATGAAAAAAAAAGTTTTTCCTTTTTTTTTTTTTTTAAATTTTTTTTCAACGTTTATTTATTTTTGGGACAGAGAGCAGAGCATGAGGAGGGGGCAGAGAGAGAGGAGACACATGGGATAAAATAAGTCTCAAGCTCCGGAGCCATCAGCCCAGAGCCTGGCCGGCGGGGACTCCGAACTCACGGACCATGAGATGTCGTGACCTGGCTGGTCGGACAGCTTAACACCGACTCATGCCAAAAAAGGCTTTGAGTTTTTTCTTTTAAAGTAAAATTTAGTAACAATTATGAATTAGGAGGATATCTGGAGAGTATCTGGCTTGGGTTAAAAACAAAAAGTTAAGATGACTGGAGCCAAGAGTCTGTTCTGAGGAAACAATAGATTGTGGACAATTCAGACCTCTTCTTTACCTGTCATTTTTAAAAATTCACTAGCACTTCGAAGAATCATCTGTGGCAATCATTAATCATGCTATTTTCTCTCCTTTATTAGAATACTGGTATTCTAATACCAGTCTGGTATAATTTCTTTGAGATGCGAACAGTCAAATACAATTATTCTTAATACAGTGAAGCACAGCAGCTGATTAATAAGGGCAATTGATACTATATGAACAGAGAACAGAGTAGATATCTGAAAGTTTATCATAAAAATGAAGAAGCATAAAAAATATATTACCATGTAAGATTGTCTTCTCCTCCCCAGGTTTCTCTTCTTCCTGTTTGCCTTTTTTCTGCCTCTTGGCCGTGATTTCATCTAATTCTTTTTGTTCTTCCTAAGGAAATTAAGAAGTGAACTTTAAAAATGGATGTTTTAGGGGCACCTGGGTGGCGCAGTCGGTTAAGCGTCCGACTTCAGCCAGGTCACGATCTCGTGGTCCGTGAGTTCGAGCCCCGCGTCAGGCTCTGGGCTGATGGCTCAGAGCCTGGAGCCTGTTTCCGATTCTGTCTCCCTCTCTCTCTGCCCCGCCCCCGTTCATGCTCTGTCTCTCTCTGTCCCAAAAATAAATAAACGTTGAAAAAAAAAAAAATTTAAAATGGATGTTTTAGAACCCCACCGTGCCCAAGGCTGATTATAAATACTTTATGATGAGGTCCACTTTTTGGTGAAGCAATAGCTATAAGTATGTCTCTCAGATAACAATCTCAACTCTTTGACGGATTACAAAATGACATTAACAAATAAAAGGTACTAGTTAATACTTTTAAAATCATTTTATACAAAACCCATCCTTCTGGAACACCCAGAAGCAAATTTAATGTGTTATGCTAATTATGTAAGTGAAAAGACAAAGCAATTAGAAAATCTACTACTGTAAAGGAAACTCCGTTTTAGGACATAATGTTGTTCTCCAGTAATGACAGCTTTTACTAAGCCATAAGCATATAAGCAATGACTACAGATCTGTGACAACTTTTATGGGAGGAGCAGTGGAAGGAAGGTAGGGTAGTAATAAGTCCCTATCTATGATAACAAAGAAGTCAACAGATGATGTCTAATGTAAATAAAAAGCAGCATATGTCTATAATTGAGATACATTGATGAAAGATACAGCTAGAACATAAGCTTCATGAGGACAGGATTTTCTTGATCTTGTCCACTGCTATATCCCTAAGACCTACAAGAGTCACTGGCCCATAGAGACAGTAGGATTAGGAGGGGGGAAGGGGCAGATAGGGGTCTCTAGTTTTATTTTATAAACTTCATGGTATTATTATTTTAAAATATAGATAATTATTAAAATTTTTAAATATGTTAATAAATAAAACCCATCATCAATCCTAAAATCATAGAAAGGTTAATTTAGTATTCTAGATACTCACATTACTATCTGAATATCTAGTATCAGAAGAACACCTACCACAATAGTTTAACAGCATTATCAACTTTTATTAAATTTTAACTTTTCTTAAAAATTGTTCAATATTGTATTTTAATTAAAAATATGGAAGAAAATCAGGGTGCCCAGGTGGCTCAGCTGGTTAGGTGTCCGACTTCGGCTCGGGTCATGATCTCACAGCTCATTATTTCAAGCCCCGTGTCGGGCTCTATGCTGACAGCTCGGAGCCTGGAGCCTGCTTCGGATTCTGTGTCTCCCTCTCTCTCTGCCCCTTCCCCGCTCATGCTCTGTCTCTCTCTCAACAAAAATGAAATAAAATAAAAAACCAAAAAGGTATTTAAAAAAATACGGAAGAAAATAAATCAGAAAAAGGATAAATAAAAATATTCCAGGGCACCTGGGTGGCTCAGTTGGTTGAGCGTCTGAGTCTTGATCTCGGCTCACGTCATGATCTCAGAGTTTGTGGAATCGAGCCCCGTAAGTCAGGTTCTGTGCTGATAGTGCAGAGACTGCTTGGGATTCTCTCTCTCCCTCTCTGCCACTTGCCTGCTCATGCTCTCTCTCTCTCCCTCAAAATAAATAAATACACTTAAAAAAATATTCCCAAGAAAAATTTAAAAATCTTAGTGTATTTTCTCAACCATGGCAGGGAAATTCTAATGAGTCATCATTTGGTTCTCTAAGGAAATCTCAAGTTTATTAACATAGATATCCTTCACAGACACACAGCATCTACCTGAATTGGCAATGAAAAACATCAAAACTTACTTCTGAGGGTTTGGCTACATCTTTTTCATCCACATATTTTGCCCATGGTCCCAAGAAACCATCAATATTAGATGCATCATTTTCTTTAAACTTTTTCCTTTTTTCTATTTTTTTCTGACCAGTTTCAAACACAGTTAAACCTACATTAAAAAAGAGATTACAAACATGGATTTTTTTTAAAGAAACAGCATTTATATAAATACATATATAGAGCATATATGTTTTTACTTTGCATGGCTAAAGAAAAGTGATTGTTCAAGTGACCAAAGATTTATTTAAAAACACAAAATAAAATCTATATGAATCTGCCAGATAGACCAACTCATGGTATACAAAAAGAGACTCAACCTTCTGGGAAGAGAAGCTTCCTACTGTTCCCAATATTTTGCAAATCCTCATCTATTTAAAGAAAAGACCCAGCTATGTAAATCCTACAATGATACACAATCCTTTTAATGAATCATGGACCTAGATCAGATTTTACCACTTTTTGAAAGAAATCCAGCAATTTAATATTGCTAAATAATGATAAAGCCACTTTTGAAAGCAAGAATAAATTAAAATTTATCATTTAAAAACTGAATTAGGTTAAATTACATTAGGAAATTAATAATTTTGATTCACTTGTAATTCAACAATATTAATTAAACAAGGTTTCACAAGAATCTGGTATTCTTCCAAGTGATCTCAATCTAAACTTGACCTCTAAATCATAAATCTTAGAATTAAAAAGAAAGGAGGAAAGAGGGTGTTTCTGGTTGAGGTTCTGATTTGATCAGTAGGAGGTGGCACTCTGGGTGCCGGCACTAAATTGGAAAAGGTTTATGGGTCACAGTCACAATCTAACTACATAAAAGATATGGCTTGTAAAAAAAAAAAAAAAAAGATACGGCTTGTAGAGGTCTAACTTAAAAAAGCTTACCTATATTAATTCAAATCAGTTTCCTTCAGGTTGCATGTTACAACAAAAGCTTGTTAAAATTCTATTTTAACAATAATGTAGCTGGATGATATGATATAGGGTCTGTAGCTACTAACTAGAAGTCCTCATACAACCATATTCTTTTTCTAATGAGCATATTTTATGGGTAAGATTCCAATGATGAGCTTTGTGAGAAGTTAGCATTTAGAATATGACACTTTGTCTTGTAAGTACAAAATGAAAATCTGCACAAACATATATTCTAAAACACATATTCAAACTCAGCCTTCAAACCTTTAAAGATAATCTTTACAGACAATGTATAATAAAATTTGTTCTGCTCTGTAAAAATGTAGCTTGACATTAGTGTTGAGAAATAAATTGCCAAGATTAGCTACACATTAATTATAATTTATTGAATGATTTCTACATGGTTGGCACTGTGCCTAGTGCTCATCACAACCCAGAATAATAGGTACCAACATCTTCCCTACAAGGTTGCACACCTAGTTGAGTGGCAAAAACAAGCTCTAAACTATAATAGTTCTAAATGATACTGCTCTAAAATATATCACTGTATTGTCTCAGCTTAAAATAAAACCAACCTAATAAAACACTAGTTTTTTCTTACTGCTGAAAGTCAATCTGCAAGACAGTAATCATAAGTGTATGTATACATAGATATAGACACGTACATATATATTTGATATTAAATATTTTAAATAAATCTGAATAAATTACCTTGATTTTTTTCAGCTTCTTCTACAGAACCAATATATTTAGTAGACACTTGGTGATTATCTAATGAAGGGTCTAATGCATAACCTGAAAAGGAAGAAAGTACATATTATGGATACATTTTTGTCATGTATAGTTTATTTTATTACTATACGAATACACTCATTTCACATTTTCCTTCCTAGATGTTGAAATGGTCTTTAACTTAGGACCAAATCCCTCTTTCCTGAGCTATGTTCCTTTGAGAACAATTAACCCAAATCTCAGGGGGGACCATGCATGACTTCAGTCGAGTAAAAAGTATTCTTATAGGACGAATTTAGCATTTTGTCATTACATTATTAACAGTCTCTCTGGCCAAGATATCAGACTTTAGTCTTAAATTCTAAGATCTTAAAAATATATGTACATCACACGTTCAGAAGCTTAGAAACCATTTCCTTTTTGTTTTCGGTAATAGATAAGACATGGCTTTAGCTTATCAAATTATATAAACTATTAAGTAATTGAAAAAAGAAGAGACTAAGAAGAAGTATATAAAATCTAGCTATTATTTTGAAAATGCTATTCTCAGGAAAGACGGTTTTGTTTCTCAATTTTAAAATAATACATTTCTACTTCATAAATCACTATGTATGCTTCCTTGGTAAGAAAAGTAAGTAAGAATATCTACTAGCATGTGAATACACTGCTTCAAAAAGTCATGAAAGTGGGACGCCTGGGTGACTGACCAGTTGGTTGCGTGTCTGACTCTTGATTTTGGCTCACGTCATCATCTCAGGGTCGTGGGATTGAGGCCCATATTAGGCTCTGTGCTAAGCATGGAGCCTACTTGAGATTCTCTCTCTCTCTCTCTCTGTCTCTCTCTCCTTTTGTCCCCCTCCCTGGCTTGCTCTCCCTCTCTCTCAAAAGAAAAAAAAAAAAAGTGATGGAAATATGTAGCTACTATATATATAAATGTAGTCTTCAGTGGTCTTTGGGAACTTAAGGAAATCTATCTATATGAACTCAAATCAATTTTTCCTTAAGTGGGGGTGCTATAACATGATAAATGGTGAAATTAGTTTTAGCAATAATCTAGCAAATTTATAAAAGAGAGCTAGATCATTAATCAGTTTATGGCCTATGACTTGCATGAATAATCATAAAATATATAAAAGTATTAGCCAATTTTTTAAGGGGTACATCCTAGTGGAACAAGTTGACACTTTAATTTTCCAGCTGAAGATTAAAGAGAACTTCTTTTGGGGAACAGAAAGAGATTTGTCATTAAACATAGTTTTCAAACAAACTAAGGATATAGGTGTTCAACTCATCCTCATGATATGCTAGAATAGAAACAACCACCTTGGCTATTAGCTCATTTGCATAGTTTTTTCAATATTAAAATATGTTCTTAGCCAGAGGAGAAAGCTTGATGACAGAAAAGCAGCTTTGGAGTAGAATCTCTGAAATCACAGGTTCAAATCCCATGAGTTATTTTATCTTTCATCTCTTTGACATACAGAACAGTGTTCTGTAAGGGATTTTTAAAATGAGACTTTATAAGGCTCATATAAAATTTATACCAACATATCTGATGTTAAAAATCCCCATCTCAATCATAAAAATTTATCTAGAATGTAATTCTATTTTGTTGGAGAGTTATGTCTATACCAACGACATTGCATTATGGGTTTGGAGGAAGGGAGGGGTAGGCAAAGAAGAAAGGGAGATCCCTGGTCCTTCCTGTGATATCTGTGTAAGCACCAATCCCCAACTCATTTGGCCATAGTCTTGCTTCTGGGACAGGAATTCATGCTCTCTTCCTTTTCCACGTCATCTATGGTAAAAATAAATCTTTACTGCGATTATCACCATTACCACTACTGCTTCCCACCCAGGTAATTAAGGGACAATAATATTTTCCCTTCACAAATAAGAGAAGTTAAATATTTAGCTATATACCCTACTAGAAGCCAATCAAGTGATAGAGCAAGATATAACTCTAACACTACAGAATTTTAGTCTAAATAGATTTCTATCATCCTATGGCTCAAGTAAGTTTGAATATGTCTGCATTTCAGTTCTGAGATATTCTCATCTGTCTTTCTAAAGTTCATTTTCCCTTTTATGCTTTTAATACAGTTAATGCCTACTTTCTTCCTCTGTAGTCTGTCTGAAGTAGCTCTAACAATACCAACCTTATTAGTAGATCCTTAAGATTATTAATACTAATATACCAGTGTATAAATAAGAAGATACAGTGTGCAAAAGAATCGTCACAAATTTATGGAAAAACCTTCAACCTCACTAGTGGTCTACAAGAAAAAATAAAAATAAAGAGATATATTTTTACTATCAAATAAATAAAGGAAAAACAATCATACAGATCTTGGGTAAAGAGAAATAGGACTTTTACATGTGGTGGTGGCAGTATGAGTTAGGATTCTTTTGGATAGCAATTTGACAACATATAACAAAACCTTTAGAGACACTTATATTTGGTGATGTGCAGGAAACCATTACAACACCACTCGGACCGTGCTCTCTGGCCACCGCACTCCCACCCTTGCCTCCGGTGCACATTAAAGATCCAACACCATCACTGACTCCAAGTATTTCACAACCAACAAAAGAGGAGAAGTCTCTGAGTTGAAGGCTAAAGTCAACAATGAAAAGAAAGAAAAGAGGAAGGAGGCTATAAAGAAAGCGACTGCTTCCATGACTATGGCCCAGGACATTAGCTCTCTCTTTCCAGATGTAGTAAACTACGCAAACGGACAATGTGGAATTAAAGAAGCCTGTGTATCTCTATTTGATGAACTATGCCAGCAGTCAGCCAGACATGACCATCATGGCTGTCCACAGCTTCGTGAAGGGCTGTGAAGATTCCAATCGTCTAATTCGGACTTTCACAGTCAGGATCATGGGGTGCACCTGGGTGGACAAAATTATAGAAGATCCCTGCGAGTCCCTCCGCAAGTGCTTGAAGGATGAAGATCCGCATGTTTAGAAAACAGCAGCAGTCTGTGTGGCAGAACACCATGATATCAATGCCCAAATGGTGGAAGATCAGGGATTTCCGGATTCTCTGCTGGACCTCACAGCAGATTCAAATAGCAGATTCACCACCAATGGTGGTGGCTAATGCTACAGCAGCATTATCGGAAATCAGTGAATCTCACCCAAACAGCAACCTACTTGATCCAAACCCAAAGAACATGAATAAGCGGCTGACAGCACGAGTAAGTGCACTGAATGGGGCCAGATTTTCATCTTGGACTGCTTAATTACAACCCTAAAGATGACCGGGAGGCTCAGAGCAGCTGTGTGAGCATGTTAACTCCCCAGCTATCTCGTGCCAACTCAGCATTGGTGCTTTCAGTGTTAAGAGTCCTAATGAAGTTTCTAGAGTTGTTACCCAAGGACTCTGACTACTACAATATGCTGAAGCCAACACTGCTCAGGTTCTGGCAGAATTCAAGGAATATGCCAAAGAAGGGGATGTTAACTCTGTTTGCAAGGCTGTGTGGGCCACTGTACGGTGTGCCATCAAAGTGGAGACATCTGCTGAGTGCCGTGTGAGCACATTGCTTGATTGCATCCAGACCAAAGTAAATTATGTAGTCCAAAAGGTAACTGTTGTCATCAGGGACATGTTCCACAAATACCCAACAAGTATGAAAGTATCATTACCACTCTGTGCAAGAACTTTAGACTCACTGGATGAACCAGTTGCTTGAGCAGCTACAATTTGGATTGTGGGAGAATAAGCTGAGAGAACTGACAACAGATGAGTTACAGGAGAGCTTCCTGGAGAGTTTTCATGATGAAAAGCACCCGGGTGCAGTTCACTCTGCTTGATGCCATAGTGAGGCTGTTTCTCAAGAAACCATCAGAAACACAGGAGCAAGCTGGTACAGCAAGTCTTGAGTTTCGCAACACAGGATTCCAATAATCCTTGACCTTGGTTCCCCAGTCAATGTGCCACAGGTGTCCTCCAGGCACATGAGAGTAAACCTGTTAGGAGGAGGACTACATAGTCTGGTGGGACAACCCTCCATCCCATCATCAGTGCCCACAACCTTTGCTTCTTCTCCTATTCCTGTTTTGGTCAACAGTGGTCTGAATGACCTATTTGAGCTCTCCACGGGGACAGGCATGGCACCTGGTGGATAGGTGGCTTCTAAGACTGCCTGGCTGCCTGAAGTAAAATAAAAGCTAAAGGCCTGGGAGACATCTGGAACATTTATTCACTGCCAAGGACACATCTATATGGAAATGAACTTCACCAACAAAGCTCTGCAGCACATGACAGACTTTGCAGTCTAGTTTAACAAGAATAGCTTTGGTGTCATCCCCAGCACTTCTCTGGCTACCCACACTCCACTGATGCCAAATCAGAGTATTGATGTCTCCTTGCCTCTCCACACCTTGGGCCCGGTCATGAAGATGGAACCTCTGAATCACCTGTAGGTGGCTGTGAAAAACAAGACTGATGTCTTCTACTTCAGCTGCCTCGTCCTACTCAATGTGCTTTGTCTAGAAGATGGCAAAATGGAGCGCCAGGTCTCCCTTGCAACATGGAAGGATATCCCCAATGAAAATGAACTTCGGCTCAATGAACTTTAAGGAATGTCATTTAAAGGCTGACACTGTTTCCAGCAAATTGCAAAACAATAATTTTTATATGATTGCCAAGAGGAATGTGGGCTGGACATGCTGTACCAATCCCTAAAGCTCACTAATGGCATTTGGATTTTGGCTGAGCTACATATCCAGCCAGGACACTGAAATTATACACTGGCGCTGAAGCGTAGAGCTGCTGAAGTCTCTCGGTACATCTATCGGGTCTATGACAGTATACTGAAAACCGAATAGACTGGTCTGGTGCCCTCTGGTCACGCTGTGATTGGTGCAAGCCAAGAACTTTCAACAGGAAGAAACTGTACTACCACGTAGAATCTGAACCCAAACACACCAAGGCCACCGACCATGGTAGTGACTGGTCTAACTTGTGCTAACATTAGGGCACAACCTGTTGTATAGGTTTAGCTTCCTGTGAACATTTGTAACCACTGCTCCAATCATTTCCCACCTCCTGC